TTTTTTTTTTCTTTTTTGATTTTCTCTTTCCAAGCCATTTGTAGGAATGAAAAGAGAATAAAAAGAAAGAAGAGATCAGAATAATAAGAGTCTGGTTGAAATTTATCTAGACAGCTAAAATAATGATCCATGATTGGGAATCTAAAGGATGCTTGTTATAGTGCTGTCATACTTTGAAATACTCTGCAGTGGTTTGGAAAAAAGCTAAAACAGGTCTATATCTACTAATAAGGAACAACTTCCATTATAACAAAGCAAGATGCAGACCATGGCATGTCATACGCTGCAACTTTGCTCTTATAAAGCAGGATATGTTCGTGCGTGTATATTTTCATCTTTAAAAGGGTTCGAGAAATTTCCAGTAACTATAGTTATATTGGAAGAAAGGAGTGAGAAAGGAATTTATTTCTAATTCTACTGTTTTATACTGTTTTAATTTCTTAAAACTGTTTACCTTTAAAAACCAAACTCATTGCCATTGAGTGGATTTTGACTCATAGCGACCCCTCCTTGGGTTTCTGAGGCAGTATCTCTATGGAAATAGATTGCCCCCAGTCTTCCTTTAAAAATAAAGATTAATTGGAAGCAAAAATATTTTCTTGATATGACAGACAATATATAAATGTTGGTGTTTGGGCAAGCAATAATTTTTGTTGTTCTTTTGTCACTGAAATTTATTACTTTTATGTAATTAACAGTGTTGTTGTTGTTAGTTAGAAAATGGTTAGTTAGAAAGTAAAGAATTAAAGCTTAAGAATTAAAAAAAAAAAAAAACTTCTGTTCCTGAGTAGTATTGAGACACTGCATGTACAGTAGTAGTAGTCTCAAAAAAATTCTTGGGCATTTAAATTAAGGATAGAGATTTTTGTACATAGACCCTTTGGCCAAATCTGTGTGGAATATAGGTAGCTTTAGATAGCAGTATCATAACGGGGAAGTCAGTTTCAGGAGAGAAAGAAAGAACTAGCACTTAGAAGGGCCTATGAGGTACCAGTAGCTTTACAGAAATTACTTTGTTTCATTATTTTCCAGTTTACAGATGAAGAAAGCTGAGTTCCAGAGTGGTTAAGTAACTTTCCCAAATTCCACAGGTAGTAAGTGGCAGAGCTGGAACTTGATTCTAGGTCTCACTGACTCCAAAAGTCATGTTTCTGCTGCTCCATCATGATACTCCTTTCACAGAAGCATCTCTTCATGCCTTGTGCGTACGTTCTGTATTGTTACTATGTAGCTGACAACTTGGCGATAATTTTACTGTCTTTCTGGCTGTCATACTTTTGGTACAGCAGGTGTTTCATTTTGCCACGTTTTGGATGCCTGCTACATTAGGGTTACTTGACCCATAGTACTCACTGCAGTCGATTCTGATCTGACTCTTAGTGACCCCTCCTTGGGTTTCCAAGGTGGTATCACTACGGAATTAGATTGCCCCATCTTCCTTCCTAGGAGTGGCTGGTAAAGAATAAAAAGCTAACATGTAAATATATGAATATATTGCTTCCCTATTTATGAACTATTGTCTTTTTAATTTTCTTTTCCAGAACTTTATGAAATCTTCCTTTCAAGAGCAAAGGAACGATGGAAAAGCTTCAGTGAAACAGGTTCTGAGAATGATACAGACGGTGTGAATTTTTTTTTTTTTTTTGTAAATAAGAATTTCAGGGTAAAAATTCAGCCTCTGAAAATAATAGCCTGATTTCATACCATATCTTAGGAACTGCAGCAATTGTTTGACATATGTTAGTCTCATTTAATCTTACCAGCCATAGTAGGTGGTAATATAATCACAAGTTACGTAAAAAACAGTTGAGGTTTAGCGTGGTTAAATAACTTGTAAGCAGTAAAGATGGAGTATAACCCAGGTTGTCAGACTCCAGAGCCCAGGATTTTAGTCACAGCAGTTAAGGCTAATGGGTGAGGTATTTTTAGGCTAAGCTCTTTCTGAACCTGAAGATAGATGTCTTCACACCTCACTTTTACTTCCTGTCCTTGACCTCTCCCAGCTGACTTGCGCACACTCCCTAATGTACTACCAGCAGTTCTTACCTTGCCTTTATCCTTTGTTCATTTAACTCACTCACAGTCCCCAGCTTTCCTTCTACCTTCATCACTTTTTCTTCCCTAATAATTTCAGGGAAAACTCTTCATATCCTCATTTATTAAATTTAGGTAAATTTACTCAGCCAGCTATTGTCCTTAAATAATGAGGAGCTATTTGTCTGCCAAGGAGCTAGTGGCACAATGGTTAAGTGCTCAGCTACTAACCACATGGTTGGTGGTCTTAACCCACCTAGTGACTCCGTGGAAGAAAGACCCAGTGATCTGCTTCTGTAAAGATTGGAAAACCCTGTGGGGCAATTCTGCTCTGTCACATGGGCTTGTATTAGTTGAAATTAACTTAATGGCATCTAACAACAATAACGTTTGTCTGCCAGTCACTTTTCTTTTCTGCATTTGCTTTATTTTGTAGAAAGTAAACCCCCTTTTCTTGCCTGTAAATAAAATTCTAAAACTAACATAATTTAGGC